ACAAATCCTAGTCTATCTCGTCTTTCCTATTCCCTCCATTCCACAATGTAGTGCTTCCTCTATCTTCGTGCTTCAACTTTGACCGTTAATTTAACTACCAAGATCGATTGCGGCGGGAGCAAAAACTATATTAGTGGATTCGTATTTGAAAGAAGTTTTCAATTATATAATTTTTTTCTCCCGCCGCAGTTGGTCTCGTTGGTTAAATTTATGGTCAAAGTTGAACCTTAAAAAGCGTGGGCGTACTATATTTTGGAATGAAGAGAGTAATAAACATTATACTCAACAACTACTTTTCCTCTCTCTCTTCCACATCGGCTGTTTGTCTGACATGAATCGATGAAGCACAACTACTTTTCCTCTCTCTTCCACATCGGCTGTTTGTCTGACATGAATCGGTGGAGCAGCTGTCCACGCTGCCCTCAGGCAGTCACTGAACTGTATCCATCAACCACCTTCCAACGAACAAGGGAACACCGGGTGTGGACATCATCCGTGTCCCCAAGCTTTCTCTCCCATCTGCAACTGCAAGCTAGGCATCGCATCGGACTAGATCAGATCCCACTGTTAATAGCCTATCCTCTCCACTATATTTCCTTTTTGCGGGGCCCGTATCCCCGTTCTGTCGAAAAATGCAGTTGCTTGTAATTCAACGAAAGATATGACCAGGTCTCAGTTGAGTAGGACTTAATCAAGTCTTAGTGTAGTGCTATAACACGTAAGAAAAATAAAGAAAAAAAACTGAAAAGCAACGTAGTAACATCTTATGAATATAGGCGTGCCTGGGTTTATTGATCCAGGCGTTGAAACGCTTGTTCAATGCCACACGGGAACCGCACGGGCCAATTCAGCACTAATTAAAAGCACTTGTTACGCATCGGTTGATCGGTTTCATCTTAACCTGCATATAAAATCGGCTTAATCTCGCCTTGCAGCTCCACACACTCACTCCGTGGTCTCCTGACGATCTCAACCGACCGAACACCCGCAGCGATCAAGCGGTACAGAGGCGTCGGTCCAAGAAAAATGGCGATGGCACGCGCCGTCCTGGTCGCCGCGCTCGTCCTCTGCGCCGCCGCCGCGCTGGCGCACGCCGGCCGCGTCATAGAGGAGGGGGGCCTCGAGGCGGCGTCGTCGTGGCTGCAGGCGCCGGCCGAGGCTCCGTCGGCGTACGCCGGTGGCGTGAAACTGGGAGGCCTCGGAAGCGCCGGAGGGTTCGGTGGCGTCTTTGTCGACTTGCTGTGGTACGTGTTCAAGTGGGCCAAGGACGCCTTCGCCGCCGCCCTCGGATGGAAGGTCTAATGAAGTCGGCCGGCGTTATCGGTCGTGCTCTCCGGCAGCCTGGTCTGTCCCTTGGACGGAGAAGAAAATAATGGCCGTGCACGCATGTGCTGGCCTCCTTGACTTTTTTTTTTTTGAACAAATGGCCTCCTTGACTGATTGTTCCCTTCCACAGTACAGCACCCTCCTTCTCGCTTGCATGCTTTGTCTTTCCGGCGTTGTTGTCACTCGTCAGTGCCGATCATGGATAAGATGATCTCGTTTTTTGTTTTAACGTGCACGGCAAGAGCACCCCTGATTTCGTTAAGATTTCATCGAGAGAAAAACCAAAAACAAAATGACCAGAAAACTTGGCCAAAAATCACACACACCGCACAATTGATCAAGGCAAAATCATAAAAAGAAAAAACGCACGCATGGTGAAGGAACAATCATGTAAAAAAACCCGCAACCATGGCGACATCAGCCAACTCGGACTCCACCGCCAACAATAAGAGGATCATGTAACGCTACGTCCCACTTTGTTCCCAAACTGGTTTCGCGTCAGCTCTGCTGCACTTTGTATGTTGTGAGCTTGAGATGTTGTTCCATCGTGTTGTTTTCTGAAATTTCACTCACGTAACTGAGACGTTACTTACGTAAACGCTAACAAGGTCCACCAAAACCGATATGACAGAATATCTGCATAGGGGCGGTTATTATCCAACCACATACACCAAATGCCCGCTTCTAGTTTTTTTTTTCTATAACTGGATTACTCAAAACAGTAGAAGATAAAAAGCACAGTTCTTAAGCAAATGAAAGATAAATATCTGTGCAACAATTTTTAAAAAATATTACTGTACTCATCGTCTGAATCCATCGTGTTTGCTTCAAAGCAAACAATGAGAACATCAATTTTTTTGGGCAATGGCATTTGACCGAACACTTGCCAGATGTGACTTACACCATGGAGGGCGTCAACATATGGCGGAGGATACCTGGGCAGCCGCCAGATCCAGGGTGGAATGGCAACATAGTCGAAGGCAGGAAGGCGTCTGGGTGGAGAGTCGGAGATCCAACACCCTGGGCGGAGGCTGGGGTGGTACAGTGGGGTCGTGGTCGCCAACGGAGCGGATACAAAGGATAGTGAAAAGGGGCGGAATGGGAAAAGGTACTCCAGGTGGGTATTTTGGGATGGGCCGGGTGTGTCGAAATCCGACATGGCGGAGATTTGGCAGCCCACAAACCTCTATACATTTAGTGCTGGTTCGTGGGATTTTAGACATCTGCATCAGTCCAGACATATTTGGTGAACGACGTTGGATAGCAAAAAAAATGTTTGGACAACCCGCGGTCAGGACATTTATGAGCGGTTTGGTGGATCACATGGGAGTTGGCCTTACACAACAGGTCCGTTAATGATGATGCGATGAAGGAGCATATGCGAATTGCCGGTTTGGGCTCGTCATAGCTATACCTCGCCTCTCGCGTCTGCACCGCTCATTGCTTGTTGGCTGACCTAGTAAGGAAGGCGTTGATGAGAGGTGTTCTTCCACCCCTACCTTCGTTTTCGTCGGTCGGTTCTTCCCTTTTTTCCTTCAATTTTCTTTGTTTCTTTCTCGGTTTTCTTTTGTTCTCCTTTTCTTTCTTTCTCGTTTTCCCTTTTCTTTTCCCTTTTTCCTTTTTAACGCATGTCTATTTTTTCACACATATTGCACATCTTTATATAGCAAGACCATTTTCTATACAGATTAACATCTTTTAAATACATAACTAATATTGTTTTAAATATATTTATTGATGTCTAATATTTTTTTCTTACACATTGTACATTTTCATATGAACTAGGAATATTTTACACATTGTATATTTTCATATAAACTAGGAATATTTTTTATATATGTTTAAGATTTTTTATTACAAGATCAACATTTTTTTCAAATATATGTTTGATGTCTACTACTTTTCATACATATTAGACATTTTTATACACTTTTAGTATTTTTCAAATGCAGCTTAACATTTCTTCAAATATAAGTTTTGATGTCTACCTTTTTTCATACGCATTATACATTTTTCTATACACCTGAACATTTTTATAGATGTTTAATAATTTTCAAATACATGTTTTTTTCTTCTAATACACATGTTTTAAATATTTTCTTGATTACACGATAATTTTCTTTCAAATAAGTGTTGAAACATTTTTTAAATGACACACAGCATTTTTGTTAAACTATATGAACGTTTGTTTACATTGTATAAACATGTTTTCAGGAACATCTTTTTTTTGAAATTTGTGAACTTTTTTTAAGCTACACTAACCAAAGAAATTATACTGCTTTAACTTTTCCTTAAATTCATGGGTTTATTATTATTTTTTGTATATGATGGTTTAAATTTTTGCAACACATGAATTTTACAATATTTTCAAAAATATGAACAAAATAAAAAAACGAATGTAAAAAACAGAGAAGAAATCAAACTCACCTGGGCCGGCCCATAGCGATGGGGCAAGACATAAACGGGCGCGGCCTTATGGAAAGTCCACCTCGGTGCTCGGAGACCCGTCGAGGCGCTTCGAGATACTGCATGGTGGGGACGGACTCCGCAACCGCCTCTCCGGCCCGTTCCGTTCCGTTCAGGCCGAGCCAGACTCCTTTGCCCAACCTATAAATTTCTCCACAGGGATAGGCTCCCTGTATCCCAATCCAATCGCAAACCCCCCCTGATTCCGTCGAGAAAAAAGAATCTTCCGCGGCGCAGGCGATCAATCCCCGTCAAGGTATGCGCCCGTCACCTATTAACACTTCCCCCAATCTATCTGTCTGTTCATGTTGTGTGATTGATTTAGATGAATATATGTGCGATTAGATGACGAGCTCGTGATTTCAATCGGATGCTATTGCTGTGCCGTGATGGTTCATCCAGAGTTGTTGATTAGACTTTTACCGATTAGTGTTAGATCTGCCGTTCTAGATTCTTGTTTGATATGCTGCTTCAGATTTTTTTCTCCTCATCTGGCCCATGGTTTTAAGTTGAATCTCATTAGTATTCATCCATTATTTGCCTTGCTGTTTTACTCTTTCTGCTAATTTGGATTGACGTAGTACTGCGTCTCTATGTTAGCCTTACAGTAGATGCGCTTTAGTCAAACTGGCTTGTTTATTTGAACTGGAAATTGATCCTAACAGTTAGATTATTATCTTCCGACCCCCTTTGATGTACTTGCTCAGTTGCTCTGCTGATGTTATATCTGTTAACATTCAACTCCAGATTTACTATTATTTGTAAGATCATGATTATGTTGATACGTTGATCCCTTCATATACGCCTCTATCATGTTGACTTATCTGCTTTGTAATTTTCCAGCTATAAGAGCCTGCTTAACCTACACTGGAATTAGGTCATAGGAGATGGTTCCAGTTCCGTGTCTTAATATGCTTCTGTTCATGATTATTGCTCCACGGTTTGTCAGATTAACTACTTCCTCCAATTCATAATAAGTGTTGCAAACATTAGCTCAAAACTGAGGCACTTATTTTGGAACGGAGGGAGTAGTAATCTATCAGAAATTTAGATGATCGCAGTCTGTGTTTGTTTCTTTTGTTGATCTGTTCATATATGCCTTCGACTTCTTGTCTGAACTTTTCTGTCTCGTCACTTTGTTGATCTTGTTCGTATATACATATAACTAGGTTACTTATGTTTTTTTTTGGCAATTTTGAACTATGCAGATGCAGATCTTTGTGAAGACCCTCACCGGCAAGACCATCACACTTGAGGTAGAGTCCTCTGACACGATCGACAATGTCAAGGCGAAGATCCAGGATAAGGAGGGTATCCCGCCGGACCAGCAGCGTCTCATCTTCGCTGGCAAGCAGCTTGAAGATGACCGCACCCTAGCTGATTATAACATCCAGAAGGAGTCGACCCTCCACCTGGTGCTCCGCCTCCGTGGTGGCATGCAGATCTTCGTCAAGACCCTTACTGGCAAGACCATCACCCTGGAGGTGGAATCTTCGGACACCATTGACAACGTGAAGGCGAAGATCCAAGACAAAGAGGGCATCCCCCCGGACCAGCAGCGCCTGATCTTTGCTGGCAAGCAGCTCGAGGATGGTCACACTCTTGCGGATTACAACATTCAGAAGGAGTCTACTCTCCACTTGGTGCTCCGCCTTCGTGGTGGCCAGTGAGTTCCTGGCACCCTTTGAGTTTACTATGTGCAAGTCTGTCATGTGTCGTTTGTGAAACTCTTAGTTTGTGAGTACATCTGTTGGCGCCTTATGGCAGTGTGATCTCTGTTATGAATCAAGTGAAACCCGAATCTCGTTAATACGTGATAACACTTACCGTGAGATTACGGTTGCTTTGTTTTTTTCTCTTATCATGTTATAACCCATTTTTGCTCACCATAAATGTTTAGAACTTAGATTCTGTGGCGTTTCCACTGAACTTCTTTGTGTGTGAAATCAAGAGCTTCTTATATTAATAAGAAGCAGGATTACATTCCTGCCTTACACAAGCTGGAAGGAAGTTAGGGATATAGTTTATCCATAAAAAGCGCCTCTCATTAGACTATTTGGAAGTAAATACTAGCCAAGATTCCTTAAAACTCCCGCAAGGCTCTTGAACTTCGGCCCTGTTTGGTTTATAAGTCCTAGGACTTTTTTTAGTCCAACTTATAAGTCTCAAGTCCCTAAAAAGTCCATATCTGTTTGGTTCCTGGGACTTAACATGGACTAAAAGACCATATTACAACTATAAGTCCCTACAAGTCCTTCCTTGAGAGTCTTATTTCATAAGTCTCAAATGCCCACTTAAGTCCCTATAAGTCTCTCCTGTTTGGTTTAGATGGGACTTATAGAAACTTTTTTAAGTCCCTAAACCAATAAGTCCCTGGAAACAAACACTCTCTTCATTCAGAGTGGTAGCAATCTCTGACCGATCGGCATCGGCGGAGTTCCACTCGTTCACCACAAGCTGAGAATCAGTTTACACGATCAATTTCCTGTAACCTAGATCATAGGCCAGTTGCACGCCATCTCTAACAGCATACGCTTCCATAGTAATTGCGTTAATCCTGTTTCATACCAGATTGCCCGAATAAGCTCACCTTGGCTCGATGATTGCGGACACAAGTCCTGTTCCACCTTGATGGGATTCTTCAAGGAACGAGGCATCCACATATATTTTTAGAAAAGGATCATCAGGCGGCTTCCACTTCTGTATCCCCTTCGCAGGCCTCACGGCTTGCTTTTTTCCTGCAACAGAGAGGTCCACTGCTATATCGATTGCGCATTTGACAGACTGCATGATTGAACGTGGTTGTTCTCCATGCGTACGGGCGTTCCCTGAACTTGTCTGTTATCTTTTGTTTGCTGGTCTAGTCCCAAACATCTGAGATTTCTTGTAGATTCAGAGGGAGAGTTCCACTTGCAGATTTACCTGTGCCATAACTTCCTGCGATAATGTCGAGATCTGTCTTCTTGTGATGTCAAAATCTGTTAGATATCAGACTATTCTTTTTTCTTTTTAAAAAGAAGTTCCGGCTGCATATTTATACCTGCAGTGCAATATTGTGCACTTTTGCTGTCTTCTCCAAATGACCAAAAAATGATCATATCGAAGGCGTAAACACCGGATGTTTGTATACACTGCGAAAACACACATAGTGTGCTTGGGATCCAGTGTTCCACGATAGAGAAGAAAAATGTTCCAGTTTTTTTTTGTTCACCATGATCGTTTCCTTCCCTTCATAGTTTTACTGTATTTTTTTCCAGCAAGTTAATAACCATGAGTATAACACATTAATTATTCAATATTCCAGGGTCGCAACAAAATGTACTGGTTGACAAAATGCTGGCTGGTGCTGGTGCATCCATCGTGTTCTCTAGGCATCGACCAAACATCACGTGCAGGTTGCCGTACGTCATAAGTCGCCTCCTCCCGCAAGAAAAGCTTAGGGTTCTTTTGTCTCCCGCCGGCGCTGCCGGTCCGCCTCGTCTCTGGTGGTCTTAGAGCCATGTCGACATGGTGGATTCCGGCCCTTGCCGGCGGGAGGGCTCTGTTTTTAGACGTTCTTTCGAATCTTGTTAGGGTTTGTGTCCTACTCCGAAAGACGAGATGGAGGCGGCTCCCTGAAGATGGAATAAGATTCCCCTCCCCCCCGAGCCCTCATCCCGGTGGTGTGTCTAGCATCGTCGGTGGGCGTGTGGTGGTGTGTCTCTGGCGGATCTGTCCTTGGTGGATTTGCTCGGATCTGGTCGTAGTTCGTCTATGTTTGTGTTTCTTCAGGCTGGGCCATTCCGATCTACGCTACTCTTCATCGGCGGCAGTTGCTGTTCTGGTGCGCTGGTCCTATGGGGCCTTAGCATGACGACTTTCCGACTGTCTACTACAACAAGTTTTGCCCGACAAGCGTCTTCGGCTCGCTTCAGTGCTTGTAGTCGTCGGTAGGTGGTCTATGAATCTGGATGTAATTTTTATTTTTTGCGATGTTCATTATACCGTCATGATTGAAGATGAATAGATCGGAAATTGTATCGCAAAAAAGAAGTAGCAAACTTAAACAAGTGGCAATATATAGTATCACCAGATCATACAATAACATTACACGATGTCAACAAAACATAATACTAGGACAAATGTCGATTATTAGGACAAATGTCGACAACTTGACATACTTAGCAGGTAGAAGTAGAACTTAATTTGGGACAATAATATTAGCTATTGCCACTTATTATTACTCCTCGTTGCAATGCTTATACTTTCTCATTGCAACACTTATACTCCCATGGCAACAATTCAAGGGTAGCACGCACTTGAGTATGTCAACCAGGAAGGAAGGAGCGTACCACAGTAATACTAGTTGCATGCACCGCTCTGGCAGCCGGTACCACAGTAATCCTTGCCAAGCCCACAAGACCCATACAGGCTGCAACAATAGTTGTTGGTGCATGCTGCACCATTGGCCTTGTTGCCACACGGCTTGTCCGTGCTGCAAGCGCCGTTTTGGCAGCCAGTACCACAGAACTCCGGTCCTAGGCCACAATAACCATACCGGCTGCAACAGAGGTTGTTGGGGCATAGCTTACCATTGTCCCGGTGGCCACACTTGAGATCAGCCCAGCAAGGACCGTTCTGGCAGCCGTTGTTGCAGTATTCACTGCCGTAGCCGCAACGACCACCCGAGCTACAACAGTGGTTGTTAGGGCACAATGTGCCATTGGCCTGCGTGCCGCAGATCTTGTTGTCGTAGCAGGCGCCGCTCTGGCAGCCGGCGCCAGCGCTGCAGTAGTCGACGCCTAGGCCGCAGTACCCATCCTTGCTGCAGCAGAGGTTGTTGGGGCACTCCATGCCGTCGGCCTGCTTGCCGCAGCGCGCCGGGCAGGACTGCAGTTGGGCATGGGTGGTCACCGCAGCAAAGGCAAGTGCGAGCACGCACAACAAGAGGAGGCCCTTCATCGCTAGGATGTGTGCTTTACTGGATGTTTTGAGGATGTGTTGATGGAAATGCCAAATGCAAGGCTCCTTTATATAGGAGTCCAAGTCGTTGGGTGGTGAACCAAACCTAGCTAGGCATTGATCCCAGTGTATTCAAATCTTACGATTTTCTTTAACTCACGATGACTTGGAAAATTCAGTGTGTGAACCGTCCAGACGAGCCATGGATTTAACACATGACGTGGAAATCAATTGGTAAATACGTTGTCAGTTTGTGAACGGTCAAGACGAGCCATGGATTAACTCGTGACTTGGAAATCTGCTTGTACAACATGTAGGTACGTGCTCCTACAAACCGAGGTCCGGTTATCGCATGCATGCATCTGAGTGAGTGTACTTGCATAACATTTACTATGGCAAGCCGATACAATGTGTGAAAGATCAAGACGGAGATGCATTCCTGACCGTGAACAAAAAACGAGACTGCGAGGACCTGACGGCTGAAGTCTGTATATCATAAGCATATATTACTTTAAAAAAAATCTCCATGCTATAAGGTAAATCGACTATCATGAACACAAGATTGAACAATCAGCAGCATGAACAAAAAGTACGTATCATATACCCTCCCGATAGCAGTGCAAAGCGCGGGGAACCACTTTCCACCTTCAATCGCCGCTGGCCAGCCTGTGGGACCTTCCTCCCTTCGTCTGTCGCTCCGTCGGCAAGAGGTGCGGGGAACACCGATGCTTCGACGCCGACCCGTTGACAGGTTATTAGGATTAGTTTTCGTGGCGGCAGTTGAATAATTTTTCCTTGACTTCCCCTGTCTCGGCGATGTTCTACATGGAGGCATCGGCGAGTCGGTGCCGCATGTCCCTTGATGGTCATCCGGATCATCGAGGCTAGAATTTCCATGTCTAGGACTGCGGGTGTAGTTCCTTTGAAGCGGACTGTTGGTGTAGTTCCTTGGAAGGGTGATGATGGCGGCCTGAGCAAGAGGATGGATATCTCGGTGTTGGGTTGGCGGATGGCGTCAGGCAGTCTCACTGCTCTTCTTTGAATTCCTCGAGTGAAGACGGCGGTGCGGAAGTCCGGCAGGTGACATGGTGATGTGTCCCGGCTAATGTGTCACATTGGAAATTGTTCTGCGGCGCGGCGAACATGTTATTTGGCTCACAGAGCGGCTACGTGGCAATAGCGCTCCTTTGGATTTGGGTGTGATGTACCTTCATATCCTTCGCCTCTGTAGGTATTTTGTGGGTGGCGGGTGTCGGCAGCAGATAATTTCTTTTCTATGTGCATAGGGATCTCCAAGGACATGATTGCATTTTCTTTTCTTTTGGGGTTCCTTTCTGCAATTTTACTGGGGCAAATGTTCTTCTGACTTTGTCTTGTTGAGGTGCACGTATGCCGTTGTAACCGTAATTTTGTATGGACACGTAGCTACCTTTCTCAACAGGAAGTATCATTCCATGAACAGAAAACAACACTACATAAGTAATAGAAAAAGGAAAAGTAAGAAAATGATGATAATGCTTACCTCTATTTTTGAAAAAACTCATACAAAAAACTACAATGAAAAAACTTCCACTATAAATTATAAAAAAAGTTGAAATAACAAAAATTTAAAATAAGAATCAGATATCACTATAGAGAAGTTAGGCGCAGAGACATTTAGTTCATGGTGAATACCTTATGTGCTAGTGTAACAATAACGTGGAGTTTACTACTCATGTGATTTACCTCTTGTTTTCTACAACGATGATGAGTAGATAGGGGATCTCGGCTGGCAGCCCGAGACCTCTGGGGATGGGAACCGTTTTTCTTTTCCATTCTAGCCTCTACAGGCATTCAATCTAGTTATGCCGAGACTTGTTATGTCATGGATGTATTATGTTATGACTTGGATGTAATATTTTGGAGTTTTTCTCATGTGAGAGTTATTTATATATGCTGCTTCTTCATAGTTATTTCTTTTGCATGATATTTCACCGATGTAAACCTAATATCATATAACCATGCGTTGAGATTATATCATGACTATATATACTGCTTCTTCATAGACCATTGAAGTTATATGGTACGAGGAGGTATCAGATGCACTGATATTCTGGATTTGGCAGTGTCTCATCTTTGCCGGCAAGCAGCTGGAAGATGGCCGTACCCTAGCTGATTATAACATCCAGAAGGAGTCGACCCTCCATCTGGTGCTCCGCCTCCGTGGTGGCATGCAGATCTTCGTCAAGACCCTTACTGGCAAGACCATCACCCTGGAGGTGGAATCTTCGGACACCATTGACAATGTGAAGGCGAAGATCTAGGACAAAGAGGGCATCCCCCTGGACCAGCAGCGCCTGATCTTTGCTGGCAAGCAGCTCGAGGATGGTCGCACTCTTGCGGATTACAACATTCAGAAGGAGTCTACTGTACACTTGGTGCTCTGCCTTCGTGGTGGCCAGTGAGTTCCTCGCACCCTTGGATGTTTGATTCACAAGCCTGTTGCGCCCGGTGGCATCTTGCCTTATCTCTTATGTGCAAGACTGTGTCATGTGTCGTTTGTCAAACTTGTGGTAGTGTGATCTCTGTTATGAATTAAGTGAAACCTGAATCTTGTTAGTACCTAATATGTGATAAAACTTATCCTGTGATTACGGTTGCTTTGTGTTCTTAATCTGAATGTTCTTATCCTGTGATAACCCATTTTTGCTCACCATGAATGTCCGGAACTTAGATTCCGTGGCGTTTGCATTGGGCTTGTATGTTCTCTAAGTTGTTTGAACTTAGATTCAGGGTAAAGAGTTTCACTTGCAGATTTTCCTATTCCATAACTTCCTGCGATGTTATCGAAATCTGTTTAGAGGACCTTGTGGCTGCATATTTAAATCCGGAGTGCAATATTGTGCACTTTTGCTGTCTTCTCCAAATAACCAAAATGATCATATCTAAGGCATAAACACCGGATGTTTGTATACACCGTGACAATGCACATAAAGTGCCCTGGATCCAGTGTTCCATGGTAGTGAAGACGTTCAACTCGTATGTTTACCTTAGAGAAGAAAAATGTTCTGTGAGGTTTTTTTTGTTCACCATGATCCTTTTATTCCCTTAAAAGGTTTATATTGAATTTCTTTCTGCTTTTTCCCAGCAGTTAAACGTGAGTATAACACAATAATTATTCAATATTCCAGCGTCCCAACAAAGAAAACTAAAACAAGTGGCAATATATAGTATCACCAGATTGGCAACAAAACGTAATACTTAATAGAACAAATGTTGACAGCTTGACAACCATACTTAGCTGGTACAAGTAGAACTTAATTTGGGACAATAATATTAGCTATTGCCACTGATTATTACTTGTTTCAATGCTTATACTTCTGCATTGCGACGCTTATACTTCCATGGCAGCAGTTAAAGGTAGTGAGTACTTGAGTATGTCAGCCATGAAGGAAGGAGTGTACCACAATATTACTAGTTGCATGAGCCATTCTGGCAGCCGGCACCACAGTAATCCTGGCCGAGTCCACAAGATCCATACTGGCTGCAACAATAGTTGTTGTTGCATGGTGCACCATTAGCTTTGTTGCCACACGGCTTGTCAGTGCTGCAGGCGCCGTTTTGGCAGCCAGCACCGCAGTACTCCGGTCCTAGGCCACATGTACCATTTGGGCTGCAGCAGAGGTTGTTGGGGCAGGGCCTGCCATTGGCCAGGTGGCCACACTTGAGATCCCAGCAAGGACCGCTCTGGCAGTCGTTGCTGCAATATTCCCTGCCGTAGCCGCAACGACCACCTGAGCTACAACAGTGGTTGCTAGGGCACAATGCGCCACCGGCCTGCGCGCCACAGATCTTGTTGTCATAACAGGCGCCGCTCTGGCAGCCGGCGCCAGCATTGCAGTAGGTGACGCCCAGGCCGCAGTACCCATCCTTGTTGCAGCAGAGGTTGTTGGGGCACTCCATGCCATCGCCCTGCTTGCCGCAGCGCTGGGCGTCGGTGGTCACCACAGCAAACGCAAGTGCGAGCGCACACAGTAAGAGGCCCTTCATCGCTAGGACGTGTGCTTTACTGGATGTGTTGAGGATGAGGTGTTGATGGAAATGCCGAATGCAAGGCTCCTTTATATAGGAGTCCCAAGTCGTTCGGCGGTGAACCAAACCTAGCTAGGCATTGATCCTAGTGTACCCAAATCTCACGATTGTTTTGAACTCATGGCTTGGAAATCGGTTGGTATATACGGTGTCAGTGTGTGAACCATCAAGACAAGCCATGGATTTAACACATCACGTGGAAATCAATTAGTAAATACGTTGTCAGTTTGTGAACGGTCAAGACGAGCCATGGGTTAACTCATGACTTGGAAATCTGCTTGTACAACATGTAGGTACGTGCTCCTACAAGCCGAGGTCCGGTTATCGCATGCATGCATCTGAGTGAGTGTACTAGCATAACATTTACTCTGGCAAACCGATACAATGTGTGAAAGATCAAGACGGACATGCATTCCTGACCGTGAACAACTACAGAGATGGCGAGGATCTGACTCGGTGAAGTCTGCATTGCATCAGCATATATTACATTTTAAAAAAATTATCCATACTATAATGCAAATCGACTATCATGAACACAAGATTGAACAATCAGCAGCATGAAAAGAAGTACTCCCTCCGTTTCTTTTTAGTCTGCATATAAGATTTGATCAAAGTCAAACTTTCTTAACTTTGACTAAGTATATAGAAAAAAATAGTAAGATTCATAATATGAAATCAATATTGTTAGATGCATCATGAAATAAACTTTCATACCATATAGCTTTAGTATTGTAGATGTTAGTATTTTTTCTATAAAGTTAGTCAAACTTTACAAAGTTTGACTTTGACCAAATTTTATATGCAGACTAAAAAGAAACAGAGGGAGTATCATATACCCTCCCGATAGCTGTGCAGAGCGCAGAGAACCACTTTCCACCTTCAAACCCTAATGGCCAGCCCGTGGGATCTTCCTCCCTTCGTCTGCCGCTCCATTGGCGAGAGGTGTGGGGAACACTGATGCTTCGGCGCCGACATGTAGATAGGCTAGGATTAGTTTTTTGTGGCGCCAGTGGCTCTAAGGTGAATAAAGTTTCCTCAACTTCCCCCGTTGGCGCTGCTCTACATGGAAGCATCGGCGAGTCGGTGCCGCGTGTCCCTTGCTGGTCATCCCGATCGTCGTCGAGGCAAGGTTTTCCATGGTTGGGCCAGCGGGTGCAGTTCCTTTCAAAGGTGACGATGGCGGCCTGAGCGAGAGGATGGATATCTCGGTGCTGGGTTGGCGGATGGCGCTAGGCAACCTCACTTAGGGGTGGAAAGTGGTAGTGGATAATCCGAAATATCTGATATTCGTATTCGAGAAAATGCCTATTCGTATCCGAAACATCCGCATCCGAACCAAAATGGAAATGGAAATTGTCCGTATCCGAATTTATTAAACAAATATAAAATAAAATATGGTAGGAGATTTTGACACAAATATGGATATGGAAGTGGATATATCCGTATCCGAAGAAGATTATGGGAGGTATTTTTTTAAATTCTAGGCCCAATATTCCAATTATCCAACATAAAAGCCAAATAAGTAGTTAAATTTTACTCTTTATATGATTAAACTTATAAATTATTATGCATTACAATAGTATTTATTCATAAACCTATTTATCATTGACTTATTGTATGTCGCAAGTTGATTATTTTAGGTCACATAGCTATCGACTAATTTACTTAAGCAACATGTTGATATTATTCATATCCGTTCCGAATCAAGAAAATATCCGATACGTATCAGTATTCAAATAATATCCGAACCGCATCCGTATCCGAGAACATCCGTATTCGGATTCATATTCGTTTTGAAAATACGAAAATGGAAGTGGTAAGAGCACTATCCGATCCGCATCCGATCCGTTTCCACCCCTAACCTCACTACTCTTCTTTTCATGCTGGAGCCAGAGCTCCGATCCGCCTCAGGCCCCAAAGGCCCAAACCAACTATGCTACACTTACGGACATATCCCACGGAAAGCAAGTTACGGACTGATTTGGCAATGGTTAATTGTAAAACAAAGGGCGGCAGGGCCCACACTATAAATCAGGGGGGGGGGGGGTGAAGGGATTGGTTAGGAGGTACTCCCTCCGTATGGAAATACTTGTCATCAAAATGAATAAAAGGGGATGTATCTAGATGTATTTTAGTTCTAGATACACCCCTTTTTATCCATTTTGATGACAAGTATTTTCGGACGGAGGGAGTAGTCCGTAAGCTAATTTTCCTGTGTGCTGCCCGTAAGTGTAGCATTTTTGGGCCCCAAACCGATCCGCCCGAGCATGAGCTCTAGGTTCGGCCATCTCCGCAACGCGCACAACCGTCCCTGCAGTGGAATTGTCACGGCAGATGTCCTAGCAGAAGGACTTAGTCGCAGGGCCATCACAACTAGGAAGCTTAAAGGGGTTAATCGGGACAAAGGACACGAGAGGTTTTATACTAGTTCGGCCTCTTACGATGAAGGTAAAAGCCTACGTCTAGTTGTGTTGGTATTGCTGGGGTTTCGATCACCAAGAGGCTAGTTCATAAAATGTGTCCGGCTCGGCGACTTCTTTTACATGCCTTTCCTTACAAGTCTTTCCTTACATATGACGGTTTACAATATTGGGCCTTAAGCCACCTCCGGGCCTTTAGGCCTTCTATAAGGTTTAATAAACTATCACCTTGAGTGTTTACTGGGCTTCCTTGGTGACCCGCCATTGGGGCTGACCCGACCCCTATTGGGCGGGTCATAACTGATAGTTATATCCCCAATATTAGGCCCCAGGTTGACTTTGAACTTTGTTCCTTGTCAATCTTCAATACTTAGACAAAATCCATCTTCTTATCCTCGCAGAGGTTTTTGTAACCCGCCATGACATCATCTCTGGAAAACCCAAAAAACTTTTATGATGTCATCTTCCAACGGATCTTCATCTTTAGTGCCTTCCGAGAATCGAGGCGTCCATCCAGTTAGATAACCATTATTTTGGGCCTTCCTCGATTTTTGCGCCCGCCTGTTCGCTTTTTTCCTTATAAATAGGCATGCGGCCGGTTTTTCTCATTCTCCTCTCTTCTTCATCTTCTTCCTCTCGCAACCTCCGCTGCTGCTCGAGCTCCGCCGCCGCCGCAGTGCTCATCGTCGTCCTCAAGCTTGGCCGCTACATCACCCTGAACTGTCCAGAGAAACGGCGACGACCCTCCGCAACAGATCTGCATCCGTAATTCTTGCCTTCTCAAACTTCTTAGATATGCATTAGGGTTTGCGAGTTCATCGGTGTTCTTCACTGTTCATCATGAACTTATCTAGTAGTTCTTCCTCCACAGCCTCTCTTGATTGAAAAGGAACACTTAGCTCGTGTGGCAGTGGTTTTACACCCATTTTAGATGTTAGTAGATCCCTTTCCTTTGCACAGACACCTTTCTTAGAGCTGATGAACTCATCTGGGCTACAATTTTAGTTCTAGGAAGTTCTTCATTTTGAACAGCCATTTGATCTGGAATAATATCAAGCAGTTTGGGAAACTTGTTTATCTCAACACTTAGCTGAATCTGCCTTCTGAAAAAATCTATAGTCATGGCGGCTTACTGTCCCGGCTTACTTTTCCTTATATGTCATTAGCCCTTATTTAAGCCGCCATTACTCCCCTGTACCATTATCACTTAATTTTCAACTTTATCATTGAATTGAGCCGACATGTTGCTGTCCTTTCAGCTCGTTTGAACATCATGCCATCCAAAGTGCCGACTGTTTGCAACTGGGTTCCCTCAACCATGACTGAGGACAACTTGAAGGAGTTTTTCTCCATAGGATTTTTGCCAGGAAAAGATGTCATGTCTTATCGTGCACCTGACCCGGAGGAGGATCGGCCTAATCCAAAACATGGTGAAGTTATCGTCTTTTCTGATCACATGAACCGTGGATTTTTCCCACCCGGCTCAAAGTTCTTCAGAGATGTCCTTCACTTTTTCAAACTCCATCCTCAAGATATCGGGCCCAATTCTATATCCAATATCTGCAACTTCCAAGTGCTCTGTGAGGTGTATCTTCAGGAAGAGTCGACAGTAGAACTCTTCAGAGAGTATTTTTATCTGAACTGCCAGAACAAGTACACCAATGGCTCTAGCTTGGAACTTGGAGGCATCTCGATTCAACGCCGACAGGTGATACGTCTCCAACGTATCTATAATTTTTGATTACTCCATGCTATATTATCTACTGTTTTAGACATTATTGGGCTTTATTATCCACTTTTATATTATTTTTGGGACTAACCTATTAACCGGGGGCCCAACCCAGAATTGTTGTTTTTGCCTGTTTTAGGGTTTCGAAGAAAAGGAATATCAAACGGAGTCCAAACGGAATGAAACCTTCGGAAACGTGACTTTCTCATCAGATAAGATCTAGGAGACTTGGACCCTCCGTCAAGAAAGCCACGAGGCGGTCACGAGAGTGGAGGGCGCCCCCCTAGGGCACGCCCCCTGCCTCGTGGGCCCCTCGAAGCTCCACCGACGTACTTCTTCCTCCTATATATATATCCACGTACCCCCAAACGATCAGATACGGAGCCAAAAACCTAATTCCACCGCCGCAACTTTCTTTATCCACGAGATCCCATCTTGGGCGCTGTTCCGGAGCTCCGCCGGAGGGGGCATCGATCACGGAGGGCTTCTACATCATCATCCAAGCCCCTCTGATGAAGTGTGAGTAGTTTACTTCAGACCTACGGGTCCATAGTTAGTAGCTAGATGGCTTCTTCTCTCTTTTTGGATCTCAATACAATGTTCTCCCCCTCTCTCATGGAGATCTATTCGATGTAATCTTCTTTTTGTGGTGTATTTGTTGAGAACGATGAATTGTGGGTTTATGATAAAGTCTATCTATGAATAATATTTGAATCTTCTCTGAATTCTTTTATGTATGATTGGTTATCTTTGCAAGTCTCTTCGAATTATCAGTTTGGTTTGGCCTACTAGATTGGTTGTTCTTGCCA